TTTGTTGATTGTTCAGGAGAGAGGGAGAGAGTGTTTAGTTGATTGTTCAGGAGAGGAAGAGAGTGTTTTTGTTGATTGTTCAGGTGAGAGAAGGAGAGTGTGTTTTGTTGATTGTTCAGGAGAGATTGGGAGAGTGTTTTGCTGATTGTTCAAAAAGAGCTGGAATGTGTTCTGTTGATTGTTCAGGAGAGAGTGGGAGAGTGTTTTGCTGATTGTTCAAAAAGAGCTGGAATGTGTTTTGTTGATTGTTCAGGAGAGAGTGGGAGAGTGTTTTCTGGATTGTTCAGGAGAAAGTGGGAGTGCGTTTTGCTGATTGTTCAGGAGAGCGTGGGAGCGTGTCTTGTGGATTGTTCAGGAGAGAGTGGGAAAGTGTCTTGTGGATTGTTCAGGAGAGAGGGAGAGAGTGTTTTGTTGATTGTTCATGAGAGCGTGTTTTGTGGATTGTTCAGGGAGAGAGCGGGAGAGTGTTTTGTTGATTGTTCAGGAAAGAGCGGGAGAGTGTTTTGTTGATTGTTCAGGAGAGAGGGAGAGAGTGTTTTGTGGATTGTTCAGGAGAGCGGGAGAGAGTGTTTTGTTGATTGTTCAGGGGAGAGCGGGAAAGTGTTTTGTTGAATGTTCAGGGGATTGTGGGAGTGTGTTTTGTTGATTGTTCAGGAGAGAGTGGGAAAGTATTTTGTTGATTGTTCAGGGGAGAGTGGGATAGTGTTTTTTGTTGATTGTTCAGGAGAGAGTGGGAATGTGTTTTGTTGATTGTTCAGGAGAGAGAGGGAAAATGTATTGTTGATTGTTCAGGAGAGAGCGGCAGTGTGTTTCGCTGATACTTCAGGAGAGAGCGGGAGAGTGTTTTGTTGCTTGTTCAGGAGAGAGTGGGAGAGTGTTTTGTTGATTGTTCAGGAGAGAGTGGGAGAGTGTTTTGCTGGTTGTTCAGGAGAGAAGGAGCGAGTGTTTTGTTGATTGTTCAGGGGAGAGTGGGATAGTGTTTTGTTGATTGTTCAGGGGGAGAGTGGGAAAGTGTTTTGTTGATTGTTCAGGAGAGAGTTGGAGAGCGTTTTGCTGATTGTTCAGGAGAGAGTGGGAGAGTGTTGTGCTGATTGTTCAGGAGAGAGTGGGAGAGTGTTTTGCTGATACTTCAGGAGAGCCTGAAGTGCTGGATTTCTGAGTCATTTCTGAGTAAACCCACTCTCATAGTATGCCTTATGGGTGCAACTCAACACAGCGAACTGAGGCACCTTAGATGACAGACACGCATGCCCCAAGGCTTCTAGCTGTTGAGCAAAGATGAAAACATGAATTTTTATTCTATGCACAAAGCATTCGGACTACCATTAGCAATCTGTACTGAAAATCACAACAGCAAAGTTCAGAACAAAATTGCAAGGTTTCTACAAATCATAAGTATCGTTCTTCTTTTCAGTAAATCTTTGAACACCTAAGCATAAAAGCCATGCAATCTTTGATCTTAGGTGTACTTTCATAGATAATTATCTTAATTACAGTTTCTATTACCTTTTCTCATGATGTTTTAGTAATAGGCTTCAACAGGATCATTTTTCATTTTTGCAATAAAAACACACTTCCAACGATTATTCAAAAACTAATATTCATTTAATTTAGCCTTATGAGTCGAAAAGCTGTAAGTAAACACTGTCTACTGTCACACACTGTCAGATATGTACTGTTTACAGAGGAAAGCATGTTACTCCATTGTGTTGATAGTCACACATATACTGTTTACAGAGGGAAATGTCTCTACTGTGTCAATAGTCACTCAATAACTGTTTAAAGATGAAAGTATCCCTATTGTGTCGATAGTCAAACATATACTGTTTAAAGAGGAAAGCATCTCTATTGTGTCTATAGTCACACATATACTGTTTAAAGAGGAAAGCATCTCTATTGTGTCGATAGTCACACATATACTGTTTACAGAGGGAAACATCTCTACTGTGTCAATAGTCACTCAATTACTGTTTAAAGATGAAAGTATCCCTATTGTGTCGATAGTCACACATATACTGTTTACAGAGGGAAACATCTCTATTGTGTCGATAGTCAAACATATACTGTTTAAAGAGGAAAGCATCTCTATTGTGTCGATAGTCACACATATACTGTTTAAAGAGGAAAGCATCTCTATTGTGTCGATAGTCACACATATACTGTTTACAGAGGGAAACATCTCTATTGTGTCCATAGTCACTCAATTACTGTTTAAAGAGGAAAGCATCTCTATTGTGTCATTGTGTCTATAGTCACTCAATTACTGTTTAAAGAGGAAAGCATCTCTATTGTGTCGATAGTCAAACATATACTGTTTACAGAGGGAAACATCTCTATAGTGTACTGTCAATAGTCACTCAATTACTGTTTAAAGAGGAAAGCATCTCTATTGTGTCGATAGTCACACATATACTGTTTACAGAGGAAAGCATCTCTATTGTGTCGATAGTCAAACATATACTGTTTACAGAGGGAAACATCTCTATTGTGTCAATAGTCACTCAATTACTGTTTAAAGAGGAAAGCATCTCTATTGTGTCGATAGTCACACATATACTGTTTACAGAGGGAAACATCTCTATTGTGTCGATAGTCAAACATATACTGTTTACAGAGGGAAACATCTCCATTGTGTCAATAGTCACTCAATTACTGTTTAAAGAGGAAAGCATCTCTATTGTGTTGATAGTCACACATATACTGTTTACAGAGGGAAATGTCTCTATTGTGTCGATAGTCACACATATACTGTTTACAGAGGGAAATGTCTCTATTGTGTTGATAGTCACACATATACTGTTTACAGAGGGAAATGTCTCTATTGTGTCGATAGTCACACATATACTGTTTACAGAGGGAAACATCTCTATTGTGTTGATAGTCACACATATACTGTTTACAGAGGGAAACATCTCTATTGTGTCGATAGTCACACATATACTGTTTACAGAGGGAAATGTCTCTATTGTGTCGATAGTCACACATATACTGTTTAAAGAGGAAAGCATCTCTACTGTGTCGATAGTCACACATATACTGTTTACAGAGGAAAGCATCTCTATTGTGTTGATAGTCACACATATACTGTTTACAGAGGGAAACATCTCTATTGTGTTGATAGTCACACATATACTGTTTACAGAGGGAAACATCTCTATTGTGTCGATAGTAACACATATACTGTTTACAGAGGGAAACGTCTCTATTGTGTCGATAGTCACACATATACTGTTTACAGAGGGAAATGTCTCTATTGTGTCGATAGTCACACATAAACTGTTTAAAGAGGAAAGCATCTCTACTGTGTCGATAGTCACACATATACTGTTTAAAGAGGAAAGCATCTCCATTGTGTCGATAGTCACACATATACTGTTTACAGAGGAAAGCAACTCTATTGTGTCGATAGTCACAAATATACTGTTTTCAGAGGGAAATGTCTCTATTGTGTCGATAGTCACACATATACTGTTTAAAGAGGAAAGCATCTCTACTGTGTCGATAGTCACACATATACTGTTTAAAGAGGAAAGCATCTCCATTGTGTCGATAGTCACACATATACTGTTTACAGAGGAAAGCAACTCTATTGTGTTGATAGTCACAAATATACTGTTTTCAGAGGGAAATGTCTCTATTGTGTCGATAGTCACACATAAACTGTTTAAAGAGGAAAGGATCTCTACTGTGTCGATAGTCACACATATACTGTTTAAAGAGGAAAGCATCTCTATTGTGTCGATAGTCACACATATACTGTTTACAGAGGAAAGCAACTCTATTGTGTTGATAGTCACAAATATACTGTTTTCAGAGGGAAATGTCTCTATTGTGTCGATAGTCACACATATACTGTTTAAAGAGGAAAGCATCTCTACTGTGTCGATAGTCACACATATACTGTTTACAGAGGAAAGCATCTCTATTGAGTTGATAGTCACACATATACTGTTTACAGAGGGAAATGTCTCTATATAGTGTTGATAGTCACAAATATACTGTTTACAGAGGGAAACATCTCTATTGTGTCGATAGTCACACATACACTGTTTACAGAGGAAAGCATCTCTATTGTGTTGATAGTCACACATATACTGTTTTCAGAGGGAAATGTCTCTATTGTGTCGATAGTCACACATATACTGTTTACAGAGGAAAGCATCTCTACTGTGTCGATAGTCACACATATACTGTTTAAAGAGGAAAGCAACTCTATTGTGTCGATAGTCACACATATACTGTTTACAGAGGGAAATGTCTCTATTGTGTCGATAGTCACACATATACTGTTTACAGAGGGAAATGTCTCTATTGTGTCGATAGTCACACATATACTGTTTACAGAGGAAAGCATCTCTACTGTGTCGATAGTCACACATATACTGTTTAAAGAGGAAAGCAACTCTATTGTGTTGATAGTCACAAATATACTGTTTACAGAGGGAAATGTCTCTATTGTGTCGATAGTCACACATATACTGTTTAAAGAGGAAAGCATCTCTACTGTGTCGATAGTCACACATATACTGTTTAAAGAGGAAAGCATCTCCATTGTGTCGATAGTCACACATATACTGTTTACAGAGGAAAGCAACTCTATTGTGTTGATAGTCACAAATATACTGTTTAAAGAGGAAAGCATCTCTATTGTGTCGATAGTCACACATATGCTGTTTACAGAGGAAAGCAACTCTATTGTGCCACCAGCCAGCATTATATCAATACTGTGGTCAACATGTCACAAAACAATTGCTGAACACATCTATCTCATAATATTAATCTCATCCAAGTAGATGAGTTTGTGTCTGAGCTTGTGGAGGCACTATCTGTGAACTATTCACAATAAAACACAATATACTGGCAAAATGTTCAGAAACAACAGACACTTGTAAGGATGCATGACCTGCTATGTCTGTGTGACAATGTGAACCAGCTTCAGTTAAGTACTTTATCATATCGGTTATGATGCTTATTAATATCCTTCTCTTTCTCTGTTTCAGGTTTGACCTCCCACTGCAGAAGAAAGGCATGTGAGGAGGACTGTGCCCAGATTAACACAATTCTACAAGAATTCTGGAAGAAAAGCCACACTGATTGAGAACAATATCCAGGAACTTCATCAATGTTTTAGTCAACTGTGCTCAACTGACTCCGATTATGTGAATGATCTCATGTGTCTGAACACTGGCACAGACACTGCAGTACAGGAGGCAATACTACGAAGCAGTACTGCAAGCACGAAGCAGTACAGGAGGCAATACTACGAAGCAGTACAGGAGGCAATACTACATGGTAGCACAAGAGGCAATATGATGAAGCAGTACAGGCAGTAATAACTGAAACCATCTTTCTGACACAAGTAATCAAAGGTCTTAGTTTTCGAACTTTCAACCACTGAATTTAAAAAGAAGCATTATGAAAAGGAACTTTTTTCGCTCACTGACTTTCAAGCGCTTTTTACTACTGCTGTGTGGTGTGTACCTCTGCATGGTGTTATTGTTCCACAGCAGACTTCAGGTAGATCGACCAATCGGTGCTGTTGTTGAAACGGAACCAGAAAAGACTACAACCTCAGCAATACAAGAGAAAATTCCCGAAGTGGTCTTCAACGCCAGTGTTGAGGGCCTCAAAGGCTGGGTAAGGAATTACTATAATGTGAAAAATTTAGCCAAAGAAATATCTAACCTTGAGAAAATGGTGGATAAGGTCAAGGGCGAGCTGATTATCAACACAACACCTCCAAATGTTGATGACAACGGTGATCTTAAGCTCGGCAAGAACTGCATTAGAAAATCAGATGATTTTGGAGTGGGCAAGTTCCGGGAACTCGAGAGGGGTGTATATGTGTATTCTGCATATCTGGATGATCGAAAAAAGCAGAAGTTTATTCGTTTCATCATGTTGGTTGCCAAAGATAGACGGTACAAATTCACCATGACATGTGTATTTGGGGATGGCACTGAAGTGTCGATGAAACCATATGAAATGTGTGAAAATCATAACAAACAATTTGGTGGGTATATCTACTCGTGCCCCATCACAAATGGAACTCTCTGTCCTGTGAGGATAAAGACTATAGCAGGCCAGAGATTAGTCTCGGTGCCAATTGTTCCTGTAACCATGGTTACAAAACCATATGACTACGGAATCTGTATACCACCCTTGTTTGGTAAAATCAAAGATGATGTTCTAGTTGAGTTCTTGGAACTTTCAATGCTATTAGGTGCTGAACATTTCTATTTTTATAATTATTCTATCACAAATGAAATGGCAGAAATTCTAAAACATTATCACTCTCGTAAACTTGTGACTCTCATTCCCTGGAAGTTACCCAAAGAGGTAAGTGACAAATCTATCTGGTACCATGGTCAGCTGTTGGCTCACAATGACTGTATGTACCGCTCTATGAGCACCATGAAGCACATGGCCATCAATGACGTGGACGAGTTTATAATTCCACATACTGCTGCAAAAACATGGAATGAATTTATTCCGGGACTCATTGGGGACAAACACTGTGGAGTTTCCTTCTCTAGTGCCTTCTTTGACCCAAGTCACGGCATCAAGCATCCATCAGGATTATTTACAATGGGACAGACGGTGAGATCCCAGCAATTCAGCCATGTTCGCACCAAGGTTATGGTCATGCCACAGCGGGTGTTTGAGGTGGGCATCCACCATATAAGCAAGCAAAATGAGGAACGCTGGACACCCCAGAAGGTACACCCGGATGTTGCATATCTCCACCACTACCGCCGTTGTGTTTCTAATTATGGCATGAAGTGCACCACCACTACTGAGGACAAGACTGTGTCCAAATATTTTGAAAAACTTCAGTCAAACTTTGATAAATCAATGACATACCTTGAAAACATTCTCGCAAACATTACAACACCAACACCTCCAAAGAAGAAATCACAAAAGCGTATGTAACGCTTTCTTTTGTTTGCAATACTTTATCTTATTTTACTTCACTCTTACATGCAAAAACGTTTAGCAATTATTATTGTGTTTGAAGGGACCAGGCTCAATGTTTATGTGGTATTTGGTTGTTTTCTTGAGTGGGTATGGACTAGCAGCCATTCATGGGAGTAATTCATCATGACATACTGATAATTCTTTGACTGACTGACTGACTGAGTTTGGTTTTAAGCCGCTTTTAGCAATATTCCAGCAACATCACGGCGGGTGACACCAGAAATGGGCTTCACACATTGTACCCATGTGGGGATTCGAACCCGGGTCTTCGGGGTGACGAGCCAATGCTTTAACCACTAGGCTACCCCACCGCCCCGATAATTCTTTGAAAGAAGATGGATACATACATGATATTATTGTCTTGCCTTCAAGATTACTCTGTCAAAATAACAAATAGTGCTAGGTTAAAAAAAGTTAAAACTGTCTGAATTATTTCAGGTACATTTTTCTCTTAAATTTAAAATGTGAATCAAATAAAAACATCTATTTGTCCAAAAATATTAAATGTTGTTCAGTAGATGCTTCTGTCATGAAACAAACATTGAAATTAGTCTGGCAGACACAGGATCTTTTTTAATCCATCCTTTCACTTGGAGTGCTGGAGATTGTCTCACATACTTTGTAACAGTAAATATTTTCAGTCCATACTTTCACTTGGAGTGCTGGAGATTGTCTCATCCTTTCACTGACAGGGCAAGAGAAGGTCTCAATAATGAATAAACAAATAATCTTTCAAACAAGTACTTTCAATACTGTCAATATACTTGATGGCATAATAACTTCAAAGTGTTTCACATGCATGTTTCCTGTTTTCTGTAAGATAAAATCTGTGTTATGCATCAACGACAGAAATACTCAACACACATTTGATTCTAAATTTTGAACAACTGGTGTAAAATTTACACTAAAAAACATTCTTGTTCAATTCATTCCTGTTCAATATGTTCTTGTTCAATACAATTTGTCTTCTGTATCAAGATATGCATATTACTTTCTCACTCTCATTAATGTATTGATGCTTCATCTGTTAAACATTTCTAGTTGTTAGTAAGCCAACCATATCCTCTTTGTACAAACTGACCTTGCACTACAACAGATGGTGTAGACTACTTCAACACGGAAACAACAGTCTCAGGGCTGTCACTGTAGGAATGGAACCCTGAAATAATTTATCTTTAACCACTAGAAACATTGTTGTCAGAACAAACTGGATGTGTGGCTACAACTGACAAGAATTGAGCAAGTTGTTGAGGACAAGTAAGGATGCCATATGTCCCAACTGAGTGGCTGGGAGTACATACATCAGTATATCAGCCCCAACCAGTTTAACACTGACAGACTAGACGTTGTCAGGTCACAGGGCCAGTCACATCCCTGCCCAACTCTTGGATAAGGAACCCAGGAAGCACTGTTAGTGAGTTCTGGTAGGAATTCACTAAAGAACTACTTGTCAAGGCTTACTGAACAGGGCTGGCATGACCACAGCATTGTAAGTGTTATGACAAACACCAGCAGGTGTTGCAGTAAGACTGCTTTGTGTACATGGTTTGTGGTAATCTGCTGGTGATAACCTCCCCTTACTCCGCTGCATGACAATCAAATAAAGCATCTATGCAGATCTCAGTGTTCATATCACAAACAATGTCAAATAAATGTTGTTTATGTCTTAGCTTCAGGGCTTGACAAATTATGTTTTGCACATGCCTTATTGCAGATGCCTTGTTGCAGATGCCTTGTTGCAGTGATCTGAGTGCAGTGTATGATTACCACTAATATTATTATCACAGTTTGAGGCAGTAACGATGTTCTTAGTGACCAACGGAGGGGTGATCTACGTAGTACTGAGATCTTAGTGACCAACGGAGGGTGATACCGCATTAGTCAGACACCGGGGATGATCTACATAGTACTGAGATCTTAGTGACCAACAGAGGCGTGATCTATGTAGTACTGAAATCTTAGTGACCAACGGAGGGGTGATCTACATAGTACTGAGATCTTGGTGACCAACGGAGGGGTGATCTACGTAGTACTGAGATCATAGTGACCAACAGAGGGTGATACCCCATTAGTCAGACACTGGGGATGAGTACTGAGATCTTAGTGACCAACGGAGGGGTGATCTACGTAGTACTGAGATCTTAGTGACCAACGGAGGGGTGATCTACGTAGTACTGAGATCATAGTGTCCAACGGAGGGGTGATCTACGTAATACTGAGATCATAGTGACCAACGGAGGGTGATACCCCATTAGTCAGACACCTGGGATGATCTACGTAGTACTGAGATCTTAGTGACCAACGGAGGGGTGATCTACGTAGTACTGAGATCTTAGTGATTAACAGAGGGTGATACCGCATTAGTCAGACACCCTGGATGATGTTCGTAGTACTGAGATCTTAGTGACCAACGGAGGGTGATACCGCATTAGTCAGACACCCTGGATGATCTACGTAGTACTGAGACCTTAGTGACCAGCGGAGGGTGATACCGCATTAGTCAGACACCCTGGATGATCTTCGTAGTACTGAGATCTTAGTGACCAACGGAGGGTGATACCCCATTAGTCAGACACCCTGGATGATCTACGTAGTACTGAGATCTTAGCGAACAACGGAGGGTGATACCCCATTAGTCGGACACCTGTGATAATCTACGTAGTACTGAGATCTTAGTGTCCAACTGAGGGGTGATCTATGTAGTACTGAGATCATAGTGACCAACGTAGGGTGATACCCCATTAGTCGGACACCTGTGATAATCTACGTAGTACTGAGATCTTAGTGTCCAACTGAGGGGTGATCTACATAGTACTGAGATCATAGTGACCAACGTAGGGTGATACCCCATTAGTCAGACACCTGGGATGATTTACATTGTACTGAGATCTTAGTGACTAACGGAGGGATGATCTACATTGTACAGAGATCTAAGAGACCAACGTAGGGATGATCTACGTAGTACTGAAATCTTAGTGACCAACGGAGGGGTGATCTACGTTGTACTGAAATCTTAGTGACCAACGGAGGGGTGATCTACGTAGTACTGAGATCATAGTGACCAACGAAGGGATGATCTACATTGTACAGAGATCTTAGTGACCAATGGAGGGATGATCTATGTAGTACTGAAATCTTAGTGACCAACGGAGGGGTGATCTACGTTGTACTGACATCTTAGTGACCAACGGAGGGGTGATCTACGTTGTACTAAGATCACTTGGTGGAACAGGCCCTGGCAGCTCCCACTAACACTGCTGCAGAAACATGTCAAAACACCAGTTCAACTTTCTTCATACTTTTAACCAGCAAAGACTGAGTGATGTTATCCTCTCTGTCAACAGCATAGGATCTTACATTACCTAGTTTACACCACTCACCCACTCACATTCTAGACTCACTGTCCCTCAGTCTCACTGTACTGGTGGATCAGGGTATTGTCTAACTTCCCAGTAGATCAATTTAGTTCAGGTAAAATTACTTATGTCATCTGCAGATGTTATAATTACCATACTTATTTAGGGATGAAGAAATATTGATACATAATAAGAAAAATACTTCCTGTATAGTTCAGCTTCCTATCTGGAAGCTATAGCTAAAAACAGCATCCCTAATTCATCCATAGTTGCATGAATCATTGAATCAGGAAGGTGAATTACCTCAAAAACGTCCAAATACATGGCCAGCTCATTATTTCAAATTAATGAATCAGTACTTTTGTCAACAAAATCAATAACCTGATTATGCCCAGCAAACTGCTGATCAGGCACTGACATGTTCAAAAATGGAGAATTAATCTGCTTCAGATTATGAAATAAATATGTCTACCTAAGGTGCACATACACAAACAATGGTAGTAAGTCACCATCATGAAGGAAAGTCTCACAAATAATTCTTTGCTTAGGACATCTTGTCATTACGATGACGGCAGTACTACTATACCATTCTCTGATTATCTTCTGACAAAGGCCATCTTGTCATTATGATCAAAGAACATTTCAGTAATGCAGTTTTAAGACCAATTATATCATAGAGATGAGGATATTTAATAGCAGTTCATATCACAATGAGTCAGGTAGTTTCTGTTTCCATTACCGTGGTGATAGAGATGGGACATGTGATGGAGGCAGTCCCTTGAATGTCTGATGAAAGCTGAGACTGTTTCATAATTCACTGTGCTTCATGAGGAAGTCGACAGTGTATCATTTACACCATCCTACTCACCTAGTCCCGTGTAGAGCTGCACTGGAAATTAAAACATTGGAAAAATGATTTGTTGTAAGAATATGTCAATGAATTAATGTTATATAAACAGACATTCAGAGACTGGTGAAGCCTCAAGTACTTCGTGAGCAGCCACAAAAACATAATAAATTCCTTGTGTCCAGTGTATACAGTTCATTATTTATATTCAATTTTAAAAATATAAATTGTAAGCATAAAAAATAACATGTTGATTACAAAGCCAATCACATTGCCATGAAATGTTTGTGATAAGCCGTGAGTCAGTTGACAGACAGCCTGCCATCTAACACACGTTCTATTCACCATATAAACTGAATAATAAAATTCTTTAAACATGTATGATAAAATAGAAGTTAGCCCATATTATCCACGTCTATCTCAAATTACCTGTCTGTGTTTGAATAGCCTTTCCTAATGACTACCTATAATAAGCTCAACCAATAGAGGTCATTAGTTAGTCAAGGCAGGAGATTTGTGAAGGCAGGAGATGGATTAATGTGTATCAAGCAATCAGCCAATGTTACTATTGATACTGGTGCTAATAAATGGATGCTTAGCTCAAGAATAACATGATCAAGAATACCATCAGCTTCCAGATGCCATTATGTTCAACAAAGGATGTTGACGTGGCTGTAGATCTGCCTCCATTGTGAACACAGTATTCCATGTACACTGGGGTGCAGCTCCCCGACAATCACCACCATCCTCTACAACCAGTAATTGAGCTTTAATTCCTATGAATAAAGACCGCGAACAATGAGAAAAGAAGATTTCAATAATGAGACAGGCTAGGATCAGTGGTCTATTTTCTACAGTTTCCCTATAGCTTATGGTCCTCTGTCACTCCGTCCACAGCCTTCTAAATGAGTTCCTGATGACAAAGCAGGTCAAGTCTAGGCTTCATCATAGAGCAAGTCCATGTCACATATTACTTCATCATAGAGCAAGTCCATGTCACATATTACTTCATCAGTCTCATGGAAACTAGTATGACAAACAGAACATCTGAAAACGGTATTAATTATAAAATGAAACTAGTACCACAACCAAAGTCTTATCGGAAGTCAGCTGGGACTGTCTGACCAGTTATTGATTGCTCACGGCTTATCGTACAAGCAGCAATATTGACAGAGGCATACTTGGCAAGCACGGACAAATTTGTATTATGTACACACTGATGTATACATTATCTAAACAAATACCATGACACAGAATCATCCCCAAAATAAGACTTTCTACAACTGACTCCGAGTAA